GGCGATCCTGGGGGACTGGTACTTCTTGGGCTGCATTTCAAACCCAGCGTAAGAGAAAGTCTTCTTAAAGGCGACTCCGGCCACCAGCTGGGAGTCCTTGAAGACAGGGATTTGTGTCAGGCTCGGCCTCCCAAGGTTTTCTCCACAGGGTTAATAATTCCCACAGGAGACTCCCTGCTTTCAGAGCCCTCGTTCACAAAGCGCTCACCAACAGCTGCCTCCTTTGATTAACCCACTTTCAGAGAAAATAAGCAGCAAATATTTCCTTCTCTCTGTTCACAAAACCAGCTTCTATCACTTCCTTCCTACCCCTCCAGACACCGCAGTGAAAGATGCTATACACAATCTAAAGATCAAGGGACGGAGCAATCTGTTCTCTCTCTGATGTCTTTCCCATTTCTACCCTTTGAAGATGGATACTTCTCATCCAGTCCCACACTCGGGTTTTTCTTTTTTGCCCTGGTTTGTTTTTCCAAGCTCCACCACCACCTCCTGGATTGTTTTGCAGCAGGTCTGCCCTGCCCAGCACTGCCCCCTGAATTAAACTTCTTGACTTCACCGCTGGGAGAGGAATCTGCACCTGAACCTCCCACCCCGTGAGTATCTAACCGCAGGCGCGGCTCTGCCCAGCCACGGAAGCCCACAGGACCCCCGTCCCTCCTAAGCTAGGACAAGCACAGACTTCCCTTGCTCGAGCTGACGGGCTGCGTTCTTTGCCCCATCCTCACACAGCTCTTGGAGGAGTCTGACAGGGAAAATACAGAGAAGGGAGAGCTGCTTTCATCCGGAACGGGAGACACCGCCGTCCCCAGGGGACCAATTTCTGCAAGCCTCAGAATACCAGCAAGCCCAGACACCACAAAAACAGATGCTGAAACATTCCTAATTCACTAAATTAGTTGTCTGGTGTAATTACAATGTCTCTTCTCAATGAAAACGCTCATGCAGAGTGTTTACAGACACTAAAAGCCACAGCATAATAATTCAGAGAGACCGTGGCGGGCTTTACTTTTCAGCAGAAGGGTCCCAAGCGCCGGGCCAAACCTACACAGATACAGGCAGGAGAGAGCACGGAGCCACCAGCTCTCCCACAGCCCAAGAACGACTCCCCACCACACGCCCGCGTGCAGGCCCGTGCACAACGGGTATTCCAGCACTGTGGCATAAACCGCTCAGCCCGTCTGCCCTGCCCCCCACCAGCCCAGCTCCTTCACAGCGTTCTCTTTGCGTTTCTCCCAGCCTGGTACTCCTGCATACAACTGGGACCATATGGCTTTCGGTTCCAGAAGTAACAAAGACTTCCCCCCCCCAAAAAAGTCATTATTTGCAGAGATGTAAATGGAATTTACACAGAGGTCCCTTCCAACCTCTACTATTCTGTGATTCTGTGAATTTGTATCAGCAACAACATTTGCCGCAGAGGGCAGCGAGATAAGAGTGTATTTGGCTCAAAAAAAAGGAAAAAAAAAAAATATATATTTTTTTTTCTACCTATATAAAAGAAATCCAGCCCTATTCACTAAGCTTCTTCCTCACAACAAGAGCTTTGTTTCACTTTGGCAACTCCCGACCAGGCATCAGCAAGCCAGGCCACATTTCTGCTAGTGTCAACCCACCAGAAGAGCTGTGATCGCCGTCTCCTATCCTTTCAGGAGAGGCTCTGACAGAACTTACTTCCAAAGCACCTCCTTGCACCTTCTTTATCCCAATCATTTTGAGCTGTAACAAGTCGTCTAACATCATGACAGCATCTACGACCATCTTGGAGAAAAACTCCTTGCTCTGGGAGATCAGCTTAGAGCTCAGGGCCGTGGCCGCGCACTTCTCCAGCAGGCTTCTCTGCTCACTGCAAGAAAGAAAGAAAAAATAAAGGTCTTGTTCACTTGCCAATTCTTTTCACAAGCTCACAGGACACCGTGTATGGCGGGATTAATCCACTCTGCTAGAGGCAAAGATCAGCTCCCTGCTGTAGATGGGGAAAGCAAGGCACGCACACGGCAAAGCCCCGGCTGTCCCAGTACAATTCTCCCATTCGGAGCCCAAGCATCAGACCAGCACTGCCCAGGCTGGCTGGCTGATAGACACCACAGGCCTGAGCGACACAGCAGGGCTTGGCACCCTGTCCTTCCTCCAAAGGCAGTAAGGAGTTCTTTAACCCCTCTAAAGGTGGCACATTATCTAAACTATTACAGAATCCCAGCATGGCAGGGGTTGGCAGGGACCTCTGTGGGTCACCCAGCCCAACCCCCTGCCCAAGCAGGGTCACCCAGAGCAGGCTGC